TTTAGCTCCGGTGGCTGTTTGACTGCTAAAGCTGGATTTGTAGCTGATAGTTGCTTACTTCCTACAAAATGTTTGTTATCCAAAAGAAATGGAAAGTTTTTTATTGCTTTTATGTGATGTTAACAAAGAGATGATCTCTGGGATACTCTACCTGGATTATCAACACATTCTCACACCCGAAAAGGCTAAAACGGATGAAGGGTGACCAAGCGTTGGGAACCCCAATTCTTTAACCATCTTTTGAATGCAATGGAGAGCGTGTCTGTGGTTGGTCAGACCAACAACAGCTCAAGAGAATTTCCTACTTCCACCACTTCCTATAAATTATTTAACAGCAACAGCTCTGTTGAATTCTTTGTAACAAAATGTTTTGTTCCTCGAGATCAAGCAGTTCCAGCTCAATTCAAACTCTCTTGTTGTCTGCCATTTCTCCTTGAGTGGATTCCTTTGCAAACTGAAGTAAATAAATTGTCGTCAAACAGGGACGATATCGCAATAGTAGGCAGGCCCGCCAGAAAAGGTCTACGCCCCCGGCTGTCCTGGCGGTGAATTGATTTTCAACACTGACAGATCAACGGAAGTATGAAAGTAAACATTTCCATCAATACACGTGTGTGTGTGTGTGTGTGTGTGTGTGTGTGTGTGTGTGTGTGTGCACGCGGGCAAAACTGTTGATGAAAAAGTATAAAATAGGCTTAAACCGTGCTAGCTATGACTTTAAGTTTCAGTGTCAAACACATTAAAATTACTTAAAACAAGAGCCTTTCATGTGTAAGCTGCTATACGCACACACACACACACACACACACACACACACACACACACACACACACACACACACACACACACACACACACACACAAACACACACACACACACACACACACACACACACACACACACACACATTTTTCACTATTCTTTTTTAAACAACCTTGTACCCGTTTGAATCACAGCGTGTGGGTGAACACTGATACTCATGAATGTGAACTTGTACAACCTCACTCACTTATCCCAGCAGTCAATGGGTGAGAGGAGAGTTACAATCTGGACAGGAAGTCAGTTCATCACAGAGCCAACAAAAAGGGAAACAAAGCCAGAGAGCAGTTGCTCTCACACAGGTTTGGTTTGGAATCACAGACTGACCCAACGTAAATGTTTGTGGGCTGAAGGTGGAGATCAGACGTTAAGGAAATGCTGCATTTGTGAAGAGCAAGGAGACTTCCCACAGACGCTGCTGATGAGACACAAAACTGCTCTGAGTTGGAAGTACAAGGAGAACCCAAGAACCTGTCAGGCATCTTGATGTTTAGAAGAAATTACAGCTGATGATAGATAACAACTATTGGCTGGTCAGTGCTTAAGACACAAGTTCCTGAAAGTAAAACTGAATCCCAACACAAATTAAAATGAGCTTTATTGGTCAGTACGTGTGAAATTATTTTTCCCCTAGCTATTTCAGGTTATCAGGACCTCATAGATGTTTAAAATTTTAAAAATGATAAAGTTAATATTTTTTCTTACAATAAATACAAAAATACATTTTCATCCGCTTATCCGGAGTCAGGTCGTGGGGCCAGTAGCCTAAGGCGAGAGGCCCAGACTTCCCTCTCCCCAGCCACTTGGGCCAGCTCCTCCGGGGGAATCCCAAGGCATTCCCTGGCCAGGTGAGAGACATAGTCCCTCCACCGTATCCTGGGTCTAACTTTCAGCTGGACGTGCCCAGAAAACCTCACCAGGGAGGTGTCCAGGAGGCATCCTGACCAGATGCCCGAGCCACCTCAACTGGATCCTCTCGATGTGGAGGAGCAGCGGGTCTACTCCAAGCCCCTCCCGGGTGACCAAGCTTCTCACTCTATCTCTAAGGGAGAGCCCAGCCACTCTTCGGAGAAAACTCATTCCGGTCGCTTGTATCCGCGATCTTGTTCTTTCTGTCACTACCCAAAGCTCATGACCATAGGTGAGGGTAGGAACGTAGATCGACCGGTAAATTGAGAGCTTTGCCTCCTGACTCAGCTCTCTCTTCACCATGACAGACCGGTACAGAGCCCACATCACTGCAGATGCAGCACCAATCCACCTATCGATCTCACACTCCAGTTTTCCTTCACTTGTGAACAAGACCCCGAGATACTTAAACTCCTCCATTTGGGGCAGGACCTCATCCCTGACCCAGAAAAGGCATTCTACCCTTTTCCGAATCAAGACTATGGTCTCAGATTTAGAGGAGCTGATTCTCATCCCTGCTGCTTCCCCATACTCCCGGAGTACCCCCCCACAGGGCCTCCCGAGGGACGTGGTCAAACACCTTCTCCAAATCCACAAAGCACATGTAGACTGGTTGGGCAAATTCCCATGCACCCTCCAGGATCCCCCTAAGGGTATTGAGCTCGTCCAGTGTTCCACAGCCAGGACAAAAACCACATTGCTCCTCCTGAATCTAAGGTTCAACAATCCGACGGACCCTCCTCTCCAGAACCCCTGAATAGACCTTACCAAGAAGGCTCAGGAGTGTGATCCCCCTGTAGTTGGAACACACCCTGCAGTCCTCCTTTTTAAATAAGGGAACCACCACCCCGGTCTGCCAGTCCAGTGGGACTGCCCCTGATGTCCACGCGATATTGCAGAGCCTTGTCAGCCAACACAGCCCCACAACATCCAGAGCCTTAAGGAACTCCGGGCGGATCTCATCCACCCCTGGAGCCTTGCCAAAGAGCAGCTTTTTAACCACCTCAGTGACCTCAGCACCAGAGATTTGAGAGGCCAACCCAAAGTCCCCAGACTCTGCTTCCTCACTGGAAGATGTGTAGGTGGGATTGAGGAGGCCTTCGAAGTATTCTGCCTACTGATCAACGGAAGTTTTGCTCCATGGTCTCACTAAACTCCTCCCATGCCCGGGTTTTTGCCTCGGCGACCACCAGAGCCACGTTCTGCTTGGACTGCCGGTACCCTTCAGCTGCCTCTGGAGTCCCACGGGCCAAAAATACCTGATAGGACTCTTTCTTCAGCTTGACAGCATCCCTAACCGCCGGTGTCCACCGGCGGGTTCAGGGGTTGCCACCACGACAGGCACCGACGATCCTGCGACCACAGCTTCGGTCGGCTGCCTCAACAATGGAGGCACGGAACAGGGTCCATTCAGACTCAATGTCCCCCACCTCTCCCGGAACATTTTGGAAGTTCTGTCGGAGGTGGGAATTGAAGCTCCTTCTGACAGGAGACTCTGCCAGACATTCCCAGCAGACCCTCGCAATTCGTTTGGGCCTGCCTGGTCTGACCAGCATCCTCCCCCACCATCTGAGCCAACTTACCACCAGGTAGTGGTCAGTTGACAGCTCCGCCCCTTTCTTCACCCGAGTTTCCAAGACATGCGGCCGCAGGTCAGATGAAACAACAACAAAGTCAATCATCGAGCTGCAGCCTAAGGTATCCTGGTGCCAAGAGCACATATGGACACCTTTATGTCTGAACATTGTGTTCATGATGGACGATTCATGACTGGCACAGAAGTCCAAAAAAAAAAAAAACCACCACTCGAATTCAGATCAGGGGGGCTGTTCCTCCCAACCACACCTCTCCAGGTCCCACTGTCATTGCCCACGTGAGCGTTAAAGTCCCACAGCAGAATGAGGGAGTCACCGGAAGGAGCGCTCTCCATCACCCCCTCCAAGGTCTCCAAAAAGGGTGGGTAGTCTGAACTGTAGTTTGGTGCATAAGCACAGACCACAGTCATAACCCGTCCCCCCACACGTAGGCAGAGGAAGGCTACCCTCTCATTCACTGGGGTAAACCCCTACGTACAGGCACCAAGATGGGGGCAACTAGTATGCCCACCCCTGCTCGGCACCTCTCAGTGGGAGCAACTCCAGACACGGAAACTGGTTCCAGAGCCAGAGTCATGCGCTGAGGTGAGTCCGACTATATCTAGTCGGAACCTCTCAACCTCAGACACCAACTCAGGCTCCTTCGCCACCAGAGAGGTAACATTCCATGTGCCAAGAGCCAGCTTCTGTAGCCGAGGATCAGACCGCCAAGGTCCCCGTCCTCGACTACCACCCGTCACACACTGCACCTTACCCCCTTGGCCCCTCCCACGAGTGATGAGCCCATGGGAAGGGGGCCCACGTTTCCTCTTCAGGCTGTGCCAGGCCGGGCTCCATGGGTGAAAGCCCGGCCACCAGGCGCTCGCCAACGTGCCCCACCTCCAGGCCTGGCTACTGAGGGGGGCCCCGGTGACCCACATCTGGGCGAGGGAACACGGTTTCCATTTATATAATTCATCATAAGAGGTCTTCAGGCTGCTCTTTGTCTGATCCCTCACCTAGGACCTGTTTGCCATGGGTGACCCTACCAGAGGCATAAAACCTCCGACAACTTAGCTCCTATGATCACTGAGACACTCAAACCCCTCCACCACGGTAAGGTGACATCTCATTAAATTTCTGTATCCATAAATATTAAAAATGTCATACAGAATAAAATATTATAGATACAAATTGTCCAATCAAGAAAATAAGTCATTTGATCATTTTCAGAAAATTTCAATAATCCTGGCCTTCTAGTTGCAGCTAATTACAGTTCCTCGTTAGGTTTTCAGCTAAACGAATGGACACTTGACTTAAATTAGACTCGGAGAGACTCATAGAACAGTGGCTTCTGCTCGTTTTCCCCCACTAAGTCTGTTTTGTGGGGGAAGAGATTAACTCTGACGTTTTCCAGCCCCGTGGTGTCCAAGAGTAATATAGGGCTTGATGTTCTACTCCTGGGACTTGAGTCATGAAAACAAAAGTGCATGTGCTCTGAATAAACTTCATGAATTTGGAGTATGAGACGAATGCTTTCTGAAACACCAAACCACAGTAAACCCCCCCACCCCCCCACCCCCCCCCACCACCTGTACACACACACACACACACACACACACACACACACACACACACACACACACACACACACACACACACACACACACACACACACACACACACATGCAGACCAACCTTTGAGTAATGCAGTGAGGATGGCAAGGTCAATGTCCTGATGACCCTCAGAGCCCATCCGGAAAACTGTTATCTGGGAAAGAATGAGATAAAAACAGAGAGAGAGAAAGTAGTGAACACAGGTGACCGTTTGTTTTCCACAAAAGCAAAACTGTGTATTGGTTCACTTTCTTCAGTAAGTGTGTGAAGGCTTACAGTACAAAGGAAATTCAATCACAGGGAGAAATGTAGCCGCACAGTGTGGGAGTGCATTTATTTGCTGGATTAAACTGTTCCACTACAAGCACCAATGCTGAGAAAGAGAGAGAGGGGGGTTATTGATCTGAAGTACTGTCCTACACCCCCCACCCCCACCCCATCCTTGTTGGACTCTTCTCTCTGGTGCAAAGGACACCTCAAAGCTTCCATTCATCTCTGAGTGGAGAGAGAGAGAGGGAAGCAATGGAAATGACAATGGAGGATTCCAGAAGAAAATGAGCCGCTGGTGCTCTCCATGACAACGGATCAGACTCCCGTTTAACCCTTTATCTGAACAGTTTTGTCAAAGATGCAACAATGCTTTGTTTAAATGTCGGGAGTGGAAGCCAAGCGCGTACAGGTGCTCACGCGTATGGCGGTATGGCCGCATGCTAGTATGTTTGTGTGTGTGAAGGGCACCTTGTGTGAGCTGTGTATAGAAGAATGTGTGTTCTGAATGCTTAATGAGCTACTCCTCTAATCCTTACTTCCATCTCCTCCCGTCTTCATCCCGCCTTCATCCCTGCAGACCCCCCACCCCCCCACCCCCCACCCCATCCCCTCCCTCCATCTCTAAATGGTTTCATTTTGTGTGGAGCTTCAGGAATCCGCAGGCTCTGCATCTGCATTTGTTGTCACTTCCCCTCCCCTGGGCAATGCTGCAGTGTTAACCCTGCCCTTTCACACACCCATCTTTCCATCTCTTTTCATACATCCTAATTGCACAAAAGAAATTCAATTGGCGACTGTGATTTACGGGATCGGGGAAGTCGGTTCATCCATCATGGGCTACACCACGTGCATGTGTTGATGTGCTGTCTCCTCCTCGGGAGGAGTAAGACCATCGAGACATAAACAACAAAACGATTGTGTAACAGTCATGTAAAGACAATATTGATACAATATCTGTGTGGGGTTTGTGTGATAGTCTAATCAAAGATTAAATTGGAGCACAATGAGATGAGAAGGTATTGATTATGGTCCTGTTGCACTGTGACACCAACGAGTCATTGAGTGTAATTTCATTTGCCTCCCTGAGTTTTGTTGCTGCATATCTTCTGCGTGCATTAACAGCCTGGCCAGCAGCAACATCATTATTTGCTACAGCTTTGCTTTTGTCATGCAGACATTAAAAAACACATTTAAAACACCATCTGGGGTGAGGGAGTCGATTTAATGCTAATCTTGTCTGCTCTGTCATAGTGGCTTGTAAAGGTCAAACCACGTGTGTTAAACTGTGATCTTCATTCTAGATCGGGTGGATAAACAAGGGAAAAAAGGAGGCAAAAAGAGCCGTGCTTTTGTAGCTTCATGATTTAGCTAATTTACTACAGATGGAGATGTCCTGGTGATTCCCCGTTGTTCTTTCAGAAGCAGGCTGGGGAGTTCCTCTGCACACTTGTCCTCTTACACACACACACACACACGCACAAGATGATTTTCAGCTTCTTTCAGGATAAAGATGTATTATAGTGCAGCATTTCACATTTTTCCCTCATCTTCTGCATCAACCACTCATCCTGCAACACCTCCCACCTCCAATCTTTTCTGTTCTTCCTCTCTTCTTCGTCACCGTTCAATTGCTCCAATTATACCCTCAAGGTGACCCTGTGGGTACACACTACCTGTTATCACGTGGGTCCGTACAATTGAAAAAGCTGAGCCTCACATCTTCTGTAAGGGTTCAATCACAGCAGTCCCTCAGAGGGTCGTCAATAAGTGCAAGAACAATGTAAAAAGGCAGCTTCTACTCCTGTTTTTTCTTAGTGTTGTCCCAACTAAAGGTGCACATCTGTTCCTATAGTGGATAGGTTTAGAGCTGTGGTGGATGTGGTTTTTTGACACACATTGGATAAAAAGGTTAAGATAAATGAGAGATTAGACGCTGAAGCGTAACGCCGGTATGGCGTGGTTGGAGCAGACACTGGGAGCTGAAAAATATTGTGACTTAAAGTGACACTATGCAACGTTTTCATATTTTTTAATCATTTTCTTGAGTCAGTGCTAAAAGGACCCTTTTCAGGGTTAATGAAATGCCACCCAGCCCCTACCTCCCCCTGTGGCCAGAACATTCCACTTGCAACTACAGAGTTGCCGGTCCAGTCTGAAAAAATGAAACTGACATATCTGACACTGCAGTCTGTTTCTAGAACACTTCCTCCATGTTTCAGATCGTAGACAGCTGATTTGCTTAATTAAGTAATGAATCACTCCTGTAGACACTAGCGAAGGCTGGGCAGACATTTCAGCTTTCACATTAAGACAAACGCACTGTGACGAGATAGGTTTTTCTTTCGGTTTTACTAAACGGACACTAGGGGGTGCTAAAAGCAAGCCAAAACTGCCTAGTCTCCCTTTAAGCTATTAAAAGGCAGAAGAAATGAGATTCAGTGCTGGCTTTTGAGAAAGCATTTCTCCGTCATCGGAGGCAGTAATTTACAGACTTTAAAGATGCAGCACAGATGGAAAACTGCACTTCACACTCCAATGAATCAAGCTCATTACGCAACATTCATCTTCATTTAATAGGCAAAGACCCCACTGATGTTGCTGAATGCTCATCCTAGACGAATGGCTTACAAATGCAAAAGTTTTCCATAGCAACCAAGTTCATTGCTGCACAGACTCTAAAAACTGACCTTTATGTTCATGAATATAAAAGTAAAACATTTCTATATGTTTATATAAGTGTTCTGAAATGAACCTTTTGCTTTCTTCTGCACAGGAAGAACACAGAAGTGGTTTCATGCTGATATTAAACTGTCTCCTTGTATTTCTGTTTGCGACTTCAACTCTGCTGTGGCTCATTCTTTCCCATTTGTTCTCCTACTCCCCAACTTTCCTCTCCACCCCCTCCCTCATACTCCATTTAAGTCAATCTCCCTTCTCCTCATCTTTCCCCAACTCCTCCTAAGTTTCTCTTGTCGGGAAGGCAGAGGAACACTCTGCCCTGGTGGGCTCTTCTCAATATTTAATCCAAATTAAACATATAAAGATGATTCAAAGTTAAATTATTTATAGCAAGCTCCGAGATGCCAAAACAGCCATCTTGTGCCCTCTACCCCTCCTCCATTCTCCAACAAAGAGGAAGAGTGGTTGGGGAGAGGCATCCACGCTCATCTAATTGGACAAAAATATTGGCTTCTCACTTTTTTGGCAGCGGTGAAAGACTGAGGTAGTGCTGAAAGGCACTAACTCAGAGACTGCTCCACGTTTGCATGGAGGATTTAACAGCATAGATGTGGGAGACAACAAACTTAGCGTATTCTTTGGGACTGGCTTTCATGATGTTTGCATAAAATATCATCATCATAGAGCTTCAACTCAGCTCAAAATGTGAAAGTCATGCACTTGCACATGAGTCACTGATTAGCTGTGCAGTTATTTCCTTTACACTCTAAAACACAACATCCGTCAACAAACATACTTTGCATTGTACCAATCTGTTGTTGTGACGAGAGAGCTGAGTCAATCTACTACGTTCCAACCCTCATCTATGCTTAGAGCTTTGGGTGGTGACCAAAAGAATGAGATCGCAGATCCAAGCGGACAAAATTAGGTTTTCTCTGCAGAGATAGGAAGAGAAGCCGGAAGGGGCTCGGAGTAGATCTGCTGCTCCTTCACACTGAGAGGAGCCTGTTGAGGTTGCTCAGGCATCTAGCTAGGATGCCTCCTGCACACCTCCGTGGTGAGGTTTTCCCGGCACATCCAACCATGAGGAGGCCTAAAGGAAGACCCAGGACACGCTGGAGGGATTTGGCTAGTCTGGGAACGTCTTGGGATTCCCCCAGAGGAGCTTGTCCAAGTGGCTGAGAAGAGGGAAGTCTGAGCCTCTCTGCTTAGGTTGCTGCCCCGTGACCTGACCCTGGATAAGTGGAAGACAATGATGATGGATGGATGGATGGATGGATGGATGGATGGACAGATGGATGGACAGATGGATGTGAGCTTGGCTCTAAAACATGCATTTCTTATGTTCTTAAAACAGCTTTGTTAACTTCTCTGATTTACTGCTTATTAAAAACTATGTTTCTGTTATGGAAGCTAAAATTTAGAATACAAGATCTTTAAAGGATGATATTTAAAATAAAAATGGCTACGAAGTATAAACAAATAGATTACAAAGAATATGACACAAATAAAGATTGTGATGTACACAAGTTTATATGAACAGAATATGAAGCATTAGCAAGCAGAGGAAATGAAATGCTGTGAAGAAATCATCAGCTGAGCATGTGAAGAGTAAGAAAGTCACGTCTTTTTTTAGTCTCACTCCTTTCAACAATTTGTCCCATAGCCGCAAAGCCAAAACTCCTTTGGCATCATTTCACTGGCGCTCTTTCAGAACAAACACTGATGGCAGATAATGCTGCATTCACTGCCAGTAGGAAATAATCATATTATCCAAGTTAGTTTGAGAAGGAGAGTCATGATGGCCACAGATAAGTCAAAAATATCTGAAACGAGTGATAGAAAAGTCATAGATATCTTACTGTTTAGCTTCAGTGTTAAAACAACATAAATAAAAAAGAATCCCAGTTTTACCTGGACAAATACTTTATTTATAAAGATTCTCTGAAAGGCTTCACTCTGGCAAATGTCCCTCAATAAATACATTTATTGGTAAATGTTTGTTCTTGGATTACTTATTAATCAGCATATTTGGGTGTGTGGTTGTTTGTGTAAGGACTTAGTGGAGGGATAAAAATCTCACTAGAAAAAAAAGTCACTTATGATATGATGTGTAATATAATCATCCAGGGAGTATCTATTTATTTATTTACGGGGGGGGGTCTTGCTGCTGGTTCAGTCATGCAAACAGAGATCCCAGGCTTT